CACCGCAAGGGCAAAGCTATGAATGCGATAGCAACAATTAAATAACTTGGAATGTAACGCTGAGAACAGCTTGCAGATCGAAATGGCAGCCCACTGCTCACAAATGATGCACAAATTACGCACGAAAACAACACACACAAGACAAGAGCAAACTAACAATGTTTACAGCTCGACACTTAATGCACTGTTTAAACAAAAACAATGCACAAAATGTAATCACAGGTACAGATTTTAGTGCAAACTAACGAGTGTCCCTGTTGTTTTTTTGCTGTGTTTGAAAAGTGTGCTCTTTTCACAAACGATGCCTTTCCAGCGAGCAAAGTGGCCTTAGTGGCTCAGGCAGCTATCGCAATCGTTCCGGTGAAAGACCAAGGCACACGATTCTCCCCACCGAAGAATAAGCACGCACACACAATAAGCGTGCATTGGCGCATCTCGACGAGTTGGGTGCTGGGTGCCGAGTGGGCGGCTTTTTTTCGTTCTTGAGTTTTCATATATGTAGATACGTATACATATATGTGGTGCATGCCGAGACTGTCCATATAATTGCTATCGCAATAAAAATATCTGTACGCAAAGGCAATTGCACGCGTATACATTACAGGGCGCGGGGCTGATGGAGTGAGCTTAGTAGGCGATGCACTGCACGCAACTAGCTAGTGGCACGCTCAGCTTGATGTACAATGATAACAGGTTTCGGTGTATAGCCATGCCAGTTTTCGCTAATGGATCGCCCTACAAATGTACACGCAAATGTCGAAGCCTGCTAAGTTGTCAGTCAGCTGTGCTGCTACTTCAGCATGTATACTCTCTTCATAGTTCCAGATTGATTTTATGGTAGCGGATATGGTCATGCGAATGAGCTGAAGTGTTTTTCCGCAGAATGGCAAACATAGAAAAGGCCGTGCACTTTTGGTAATGTTACAATGGTGTCATCACATATAGTTCTCCGTGGCTAACGGTGGTGCACGGCAGGTGACGGATGGATTAATGCATAGTTTCGCTGCATTTCCGACAGCGCCTTTGAATATCTGTCGTACGCGCATCGCGCTCGTGCGGCAGCGTCTCCTGCAATCAACCCTCTATTACACCGTTCCTGCGATCTTGCTCTTTTGCCAACGTCAGTTTACTGCAGTCAGCAGCCAGTGCGCCGAAGGGGGTTGCGATGAGGCCACAACTCCCGGCGTAGCCTCACCGCCGGGAGTTGTGGCTACGTTAACAGAGAGGCATATTCTGGGCGTCTTTTTATCACCAATCAGTAATCATCTATCTCGCATGCTTACCTCGTGTTATCGCTGCGCGCCCGGTACACCTTGGTCACGATCGTGCTGCTATCAGGGCAACACAGCATTCTTGAGCAGAAAATGGCTAGCGCGCAGTCCTCGAGCAAGGCAACTGAAGCAAGCGAGGTAACGAGTATTGCTGTGTAGTTAAAAAATGCTCGAAGTACTCCCATTTTCCCTAGTGGCTTGACCCATAAGAGCAGGGGAGAAAAATTAAAGAAAACTATAAAATCTGGGTCTTTCAAACCAAAGTTGATGGTTTGGGAACCTGGATGAATTGCGACCACCTAGGCTCTTTTAATAGTCGCTTAGACTTAAGTACACGGGTGTTAACTGTTGCACAATCAAACCAGTGGGCTCATGCTCACTAGTCATCATGGCAGGTACGAAAGCTTTTCGTTGTTTTTTTTTTGTAATAAGAAAGAAGATAGAAAAGGTTTGTTCATTATGTGGCTTGACCCCAAAACATCAGTCAGAACTCAACTATTACAGTCTTATGGTTTCTGGCAAGTACAAATGGTGACATTTTAAAAAAATTTTTGTGTGAAATAACTGACTATAATAACAATTGTACTGTTTCTAACGTATATATATGGTTGAGTAAAAGATTAATGGTGGTAAAAACTTGCTCCTCTTCATTATTCGATATTCGATTCGTATTCGGAGCTATGTATTTGTATTCCATTCGTGTTTGAAAATTTTGATATTCGCACACCCCTAGTTCCTTGATATGAGAAAAGCGTATGACGCAACATTGCTGTTTGAAATTTCGAAAAATCTTTCAGCATTGGGTGCACAGGGTAGAATGTTAAACATAATTGATATGTACTTGTCGAATCGAACATTCAATGTTCGAGTGGGGAATTTTTGTCGCAATCATTTTTGCAGAAAACCGGAGTACCTCAGGGTGGAGTCTTCAGTTGTACACTTGTTATTAAAATATCATTACGTGTGTGCATCCCACGAAACATATTTTATTCCACCTATGTTGATGATATAAAAATAAGATTTAAATCGTGCACTCTCGCCCTTTGTGAGGGGCAGATCCAGCTTGGACTGAACAAGGTATCCAAATGGGCAGACGAAAATGGCTTCAGCCTAGATCCTCAGAAGAGCACCTTCATTGTCTTTTCTAGAAAGAGAGGCCTTAATTCGGATTCAGAAATTAACATGGACAACCGTTAACGGTTACCTGTAGATGTGGATCATAAATTCCTAGGCCTGATTTTAGACAAGAAGCTCACCTTTGTGTCACGCAATAAGTTTTTAAAAAGTGAATCCATGAGAACAATGAGCATCTTAAAGGTACTGTTGCGCACAACACGGGGTAGTGATAAAAAGTGTCGCATCCATTTGTACAAAAGCCTCGCATGCACATGGCTAGACTTGGAACCATAGTATATCAGTCTGCCACCTCCAAGTGTTTTGAAGATGTTGGACCCTGTCCACCATCAAAGTATTCGCCTCTGTACAGGCACCTTTAGAACTAGCCCTGTAGAAAGCTATATGTTGAATCAAGTGAATGGTCACTCCACCTGCAGAAGATGTACTCGGCATTTGTGTACTTTCTGAAGGTGAGTGCTGACAATGAGCACCCCATATGTCCAATCATAAACAATTTGACCTGTTCCAGCCTTTTTCTCTACTAACCTTCACTGGGACAGCTCTATGCACTCCATGTGAGGGGCCTAGCAGAAGAAACTATAATCCCACTCCTTTAACACCCCCTAATGACTCCTGTTAAACAGCTCCCGCCATGGCAATGGCAGCTCATAAAGTGTGTTGTTACGAGGAATGCTCCTCCTGCACAGATTCGCATGCATTTTCTCGAGTTGAAGCATAAATACGATTGTCCAGAGTTGCACACTGATGCATTAAAGACCCATGCGAGCGTCTCTTATGCACCTTTCTCAAATGCTGATGCACTGCACCCCAAAACAAGCATGTTTACAGCTGAAGCATATGCAATATTGATGGCTCTTAAACAGATAAAGGAAACACATACCAAAATCTGGTATATACTGTGACTCTCTGAGTGTTGGATCTGCATTAAAACCACTTAAAATGAAAAAGACCTGTACTTACATCACTGTACTCTCTTCTCTGCACTGTCTATGCGTCCAAGCTACACGTTGTGTTATGTTGGGGGCCAGGACACCATGACAATCAAGGCAGTGAGCTGGTGTATAAGCTTGCCATATCCATTGACACAAAAGCTGGCAACTCCGTGATCCCTGACCCTGTCAGAGACTTGAAAGCATATTTACGTAACAGGCTCCGAATGTATTGGCAGTGTTTGTGGGATGATTAAATGAGTAACAAGCTTCCTCTTATTAAGCCACACATAGGGCATGGCCCGTCAGCAAATCGAGACAAATAGAAGTTCTATTCTCTAGACTTAAAATAGGGCATACTTACGGCACCCATAGCCTCTGGAAGAGGGGTGAACCCTCTAATGTGTAGTAGATGTAGAGAGACACTCCATGTACTTCACGTTTTAATAACATGTAAAGAATTGATAAGTGGCAGGAAGAAGCACTTCCCGAAGGCTTATCGCCAGCACAGCCCATTTCATCCATCGATTTTTTGAGGCAATGAACTAATTTTTGATCAAATAACAGTTGTAAACTTTTTAAAAGACACCGGAGTGCTTCGAGTTATTCATGCTGGAAACTGGTTGCTGCGAGATTATTCTTTGAATGCACCCACCTCAACTCCCTTGCTCGCAAGGGTGTTTAGAGGCTGCTGAGCCTTTTAATAGTTCCAGACAGTATATGTATTTTTGTTGTTGATATTTCATATTCAGTGCAGTCATTGTCATAGTTTTAGTAGTAAAGTCTATGTTACACATGTTTTGTACACAGGGTATTAGGCCCTTTACAGCCACTTAAGCATACATATTGTCATTCATCACACCACTGCACCCACATAATACTTTGTGTTGGTGCTCTTTGGACATAACGGCCCTTGGACCACTAAACAATATTCATCATCATCATTAAGTGCTTTCTCTCTTTTGTTGTCTGGAAAAGTGCACTGGTAGCTATACAGGTAGAGTGGGCAAGGGGGAAGAGATTATGTGAGTGATTGACATGACCTTGACCGCACATCATGAAACATTATTGCACTCTCTTATTGGGGTTCTTGTGTATAAGTGTGGCTCACTTACACATGTTAGCAAACTATGCAGCGTGGCGCCAGCACATGGTGGCATCACCTGGCAAGAAGTGCATCTGATTTAAACACTACTATTGATTTATGTCAGCTATTGGCCAGTAGCATGCTATCTATTGTTGGATGCCAAACAGCATATGTCCACAGCTCTCTTATCCAGGGGCTCCAGGATATCAGACCCAAAATATATAAACCAGTTCCAGACGGGTGTGTTTTGAAATAAGAAGGTGTGAACAGGGCTACTTTATCTTTACTACAATGTAGCTGTAATGAAAACACTGTATGCTGTTTATTTAGGCTATAAGTAACATTTTTTTCACCTTACTTTTCAATGGTGAGATTTATACAACGGTGGGACTATGGGCCCTATAAATGCTTAGAACCATGTGTTCACTTGCATCTTTGTCCTTGTCATGCCATATGAAAAGAGTCACCCTCTAGCCCCCCTCCCCCCATTTATCAAAGTATGGTGTTTTGCTTGTTGTATGCTTCCTTGCTGACCCACTTTCTGCACTTGGGGTCTAAAGTTTGTTTTCTTTCCAGTTTCTGAAGATCCTGAGGTTAAACTGAAGCTCCAGCAGTATGAGCAAGAGGTGGCTACACTTAGGGCAGCTTGTGAAGCCCAGGTAATAATTGTATGTTTTGCTTATAGCAGGGAGCAGAATGGTAAAAGTAACCTTACAAGTTCTATAAGTAACATTTTTTTCACCTTACTTTTGAACGGTGAGATACAATGGTGGGACTATGGGCCCTATAGATGCATAGAACCATGAAGCCCAGGTAATAATTGTATGTTTTGCTTGTAGCAGGGAGCAGAATGGTAAAAATAACCTTACAAGTTCTATAAGTAACATTTTTTTCACCTTACTTTTCAACGGTGAGATACAATGGTGGGACTATGGGCCCTATAGATGCATAGAACCATGTGTTCACTTGCATCTTTGTCCTTGTCATGCCATATCAAAAGAGTCACCCTCCAGCACCTATCCCCCCATTTATCATAGTATGGTGTTTTGCTTGTTGTATGCTTCCTTGCTGACCCACTTTCTTTTCAATGACCACTTTTCAATGGTGAGATTTATACAGTGGTGGGACTATGGGCCCTATAAATGCATAGAACCATGTGTTCACTTGCATCTTTGTACTTGTCATGCCATTATGTTCCCTCCCTAATAAATCATAACTCAGCATAGATATTAAATTTTATGGTCCATACACACTATTCAGGGGAAAAACAATGTATAAGCCGTCAAAGGCAAGCCTAATATTTATCAGCCTGTGGCATTGTGTTTGTCTTTTGTGCTGTGTTCCACTGATACACCAGGGCCAGATATTGTGTGCTATGTTGCACACTTGTTCTGCTATACGACAAGTTGCACATTTCGATGCTGTTCTGCACTAGGTTTTAGTCTTTTCCTTGCTTTAGTTGCCACAAAAGGAAGTCATTATACCTTAGATCGGTGCACATCTTGTATATTATTTATACAAGATGTATATTGTACATTGCTGATACTCTGTAGCTACTGGTTGGGACGTCAGCTATAGCTCAAATACATTAAACTCAGGCTACCTAGTGGAGCTTTTTCTTCACCATGAGGTTGTGGTGGAAGCACATTCGCCACTGCCCTCAGTGTTATTGAGCAGTCAGTCCAAGACATTATGAAGCGGTCTGCATGTGACAGTGGCCACAGAACCTAGCCTGACCAGATCATAAAAAAAGCTCTGTTCTGTTCTCAATCTTCCTCCCATTGTCGTGTCCTAGTTCTCGATAGAGATGCCATAGATGCCTGGATCAACCTGCTGCTGCTCATTGGACTTTATGCTACCAATGTTAAAGGTAGAGCCATGATGGACACTCTTAAGGACAGCAGCTCGTCTGCTTCCTCTAGTAATAACCCAGCAGTTCATGAGTCATCAGCAAACATCGCCTCATCCAAGGTTCATGGAGTTGGCATGTCAGCAACAACTCATTGTCACAGAATGCAACAGCACTGGATACCATCCTTGACATTTCCCCCACATCAGCACTGAATACCATCCTTGACATTACCCATACGTCGTGACACATTGCTGGTCTCCACCTCATCATTGATGTCTCATCCAATCCTCTCCGTCATTTGTTGTAAGCTTCAACACTTTGACAACGATGCTGACCTCTGTTTAATGCAAAGCATTTTTTGGTGAATCTCAGGCGCTTTGAAGCATATTTGTGTAGCCACCTACGCATTGCGTGCGATTTCATACTTAAACGTGGTCGTGCTGCACAGTGAGAGCAGGGTCACGTGATTTACCGTGGTCATCCAGGCAGTGGTTGGGATGGTGAGGAATGAGGAAAAATGTATTGTGTTACCAACACAATTTATACAAAGCATGCGTTGTGGTGGATGAAGGTTGCACTTCGATGCTCTCTCTCACCATTTGCGATTTCTTACTTTAATGCAACCACAATGCATCACTAAATGTTTTCACCTCCACTTGGCCACAGTGCTCGTGGGGGCTGCCCAATTCTGCAGTCATTAACATCATTACACGGCCACACAGTCTCACAGTAAGGCCTGCGCTTTGCTTCTGCTAATTAAGCCCCTGCTCAACTCACTGAGCTTTGCCGTGATAGCGTCATACATAGTACATAAGAAGGAAGAAATATTTAGGAGATGAAATTCCTGTTAAAGTGGGTGTGGATGGGCATTTATATAATGTCACAAAAATAACATGCACTGGCAGAGGCACTTCAATTGGTGGCGCCTTGGTAAGCAAGGCTATAATGTCAAAAAAAAAAGAAGCACAGTTCCGGCACAAGGCCAAAGCAATGAGTGCGATAGCAACACATCAGGCTGTTATACCAAGTAAGGCTAGGAGAATCAGGAACCATACGAAATGTAGTGAACATGGTCGATTGTGCTTGTACTGACCATAATGCTGTAGCCACAGTATCTAAACAGGTGTTGTAGTGAATAGTTGACTGCGTGATATCTGACAGGAGGATAGCCCAAGTTCGACATCGAGAAATGCAACAAGCCACTGGTTTTTATGTTGAAGTCTCCAATGACTATCACTGGCACATTGTGGAGGTAAACCGCACGAAAGTTGTGCAGCAAGAAATTCTTGACGTCAGTCTGCAAGGTTCCTGGTGAGGCGTACACTGTTGCGACGACAAAGCCGTGGGATGTTTTAACGGCGCATCATTACAACTCATCGGGGGCAGCGAGTTGAGTTTGTCCATCTAAAGTTATAGTGGCAGTGCGCATTTTGATGGGAACCGAATTCACAAGCACGTAATGACCAGCAACTTTCCAAATAGTCCTAGACTTGATGCGAGTGGTTTTTCCTGTCGCTTTATAGTGAAAGTGGAGCCAGAGACATTTTGAAATGCCCCTTTCATCCAACTATATATGCTCCAGAGAGCTCACCCCTCCATTGATCAAGTCATCAGACACGTCAATGTTTAAGGAAAGCATGTATGGCTTGTCCAAACAAAGTACATGCTTTGTTCAAATGTCTCATGTACTGCCGAACCCGTTTATAACCAACTCGTAAGTGCCGCAATAAATGATCGTTATACCAGTAGTTCGTTGTATGTGGAGCCACCCCAAAAAAAAAAAAGTCCACGCTGTGGCAAATCGTTTTTTTTTCTGTGCATTTTTATTAAAAAGTGCAAACAACTCCTCTGCTAACAAGTTAGGCCTTTTCGCGTGTTAAACAACGCGCGTTCGCAATGAAGTCATGCCCTTCCATTAGGTGGCGGTACCGCCACAATGAACCAATTATTCCTTGGTAGTTGCATGCATTATGACGCTTACTCTTGCTACTCTCGTCGTCGCATGCCAGTTCACTTGCAGTCCAATGTATGCGGGGGTTTGTGCGTTCTTCACGCAGGATTCTCTCATGATTGTGCTAAGGTGCGACAGGTAGCTTGTTTGTTTTTTGCGAGCAACGTGCGCAAGCGGCCTCGCACAACGTGATGGCGGTATACTTGCAAACTACGCCATCACGCGCTTATACCTCCGTCACTTTGCCGAGCAGTTATCTGCAGGTGAGTGGGATAAGCTCACCGGCAGTGAGTCGAAATGGCACGTTCATTGCCACCGGCCACCTCGCCATTATCGCTCTTTTTTTGCTTATCTGTTAAGGCATCGCCGCAGCCGCAGGGAAGTCATTATCATTAATTGACCGGTCTTTGCCGTTACCGAAAGGGGAGAACCTTTAACGGCACATTGTGGAGTCGGAGAGTTCAGCGTCGCAGTGAACTTCTATGCGACAAAAGTTATCGCTTCTCGCATTTATGGAATCTTGCGTTCGAAGGCATTGTTAGTTTATCGTCAGAGCTCATAGATGCCGAGAATGACGTCAGAAAAGTTTGCCTTGCGAAAGCTGACCACAATTCTTCATGCTACCTCCTATTTTTTCTTTTCGTTTTTTCCCCTTCACTTCCATTCTGCCTGTGAAGAAACATTTCGAAAGTGAGCAACCTTGCTGGCGATGTCCGAAATCTGCGTGCGGTGCTCGCCGCATTCTGTGATATCTTCGTCGCAAGTAAGCTGCAGTTGGGCACACGTGAGTGCGCCTATCACATGCTCAAGAATGCCTGTTCTAATTTTCTTTTTCGCTTCATATGCGCTTTGTTTTTGCCGCGACCGTGTCGGAAGTGTTCGTTGTAAAAGTAGGAGGCTTTGAAAAATGTTCCCTGTATGTGGACTCGGTTTCAAATGGTAGCATAGGAAAATCGTAAGTGCACTGAAAAACGCTTGTTATAACCAATAGATCGTTATATCTGGGATCATTATAAGTGGGCCTGACTGTAAATTTATTGACAGAAAGCCAGGGGAAAATGGTGTATCTATTCATAGCTCGCCATTAGTGTGATGGAAAGTATGAGCGGCATAGTCCTGTTCGTTAGTGGAGTGCGCTGAGGAGTGAGGGGTCACTCGTTCGAATCTCCAGTAGGTGCCTTGGAATTTTTCTTTTTTTGTGTGTGCTTTACGCATACACACACACACACACACAAGTATATATATATATATATATATATATATATATTATATATTATATATATATAATATATATATATAATATATATATATCTTGGACATGACGGTGACGGCGAAAATCAGCAGAGTGTGTCCATATAATTGCTATCGCAAAAAAGAGGAGAGAGAGAGAGAGAAAGAAAGAAAGAAGGAAAAAGTGTTACCATCTGGGCATTCCCGGGTAGGCGCACCAGCTTGCGTGTTCTCTTTAGCAGTGTTTGTGAGCAGATGATGGCAGCATTTGCTTAAGCGGTCACTTTTTTTTGTGTGTGTGTGCATTGCCTTCTCAATAACAGTCCGTGGTAAGAGCTCGCATCAGTATATGCAGGAGGGCTGTGCCTCGCCATGGCAGTCTAGTAGTTAAGGTACTCTACTGTGGACGTGCAGGTCGCGGGATCGAATCCTGGCTGCGGCGGCTGCATTTTGGATGGAGGCAGAAATGCTTTAGGCCCATGTGCTCAGATTTGGGTGCGCATTAAAAAATGCCAGGTGGTCGTAATTTTCCGAGCCCTCCACTCTGGCGTCTCTCATAATCATATGGTGGTTTTGGGACGTTGAACCCCACATATCAATCAATTCTGGAGAGCTGTAGAAAGCATTGTTGTGCACAAAATGCTCTTTTTTTGGCAACTGCTAGCCTGAGATGGGACCCAGGTGTTTTATTGAAATCTTCAACAGCGGACGCAAGTCTTCCGGAAAAATGGTAGAGCAAGAAATAAGCACAGCCTAATGTGCTCCGTGTACACACTCCATGACTGTGGTCAAGAGGAGCAACAGGTGTGTTTGGTTCTCTAAGAAATTAAAACGGTGGTGATTCCCTCGCCTGCAGCTGGATGCCACCAGCATGAAGTGGCTCTGTGGCAGTGAGACAATATCTCGTCACCTAAACTAGCAGAGTTGCACCTTCAAAGTGTTTTGTGCTTCGTGTCCAAGACTAACGGTGAACTATCAACTCTTCTAAATTGTTTACTCAAACAGGTTATTTGCACAAACACATCCATCTGCCTTTTAAAGTTCGGTTGAATGTGAAAAGTGTGGCATAGCCAACTTTCTGCTGCCTGCTTTGCATAACATTGATTTCCACAGTTGGTGGGATATGCCAGTTTTTTCTTGTACATGTTTGGGGAATTTCTCAGTGGTCCACTAATGATAATTAGCATTCAAAGCCTCAGTGGATGTCATTATTTTCGTATTGTTAGCAAGACAACCAGACAAGCCTTTTTTGTCAGAACTGGTGCTCAGGCCACCATCTGTCCCTTCATAATGAAGTGATTATTGACAACACCAATCCAGTTCTTACAAGCTATGAATGGTATATGCATTGTTGTTTACAATCATCATTACATTATGCTAAGCCAGGTTCTCCAAAGGCAGCTTCAAAGAATATTTATCATTGAACATCTACATTCTGCTTTAATTTGTGCTCATTTTTTCATCACCCAAGACATTGTTGTCAACAAGGTGCCGCTGCGGTGGTCTAGTGGCTAAGGTACTCACCTGCTGAGCCGCAGGTCGTGGGATCGAATCCCGGCTGGGGCGGCTGCATTTTTTAATAGAGGTAAAAGTGCTGTAGGCCCGTGTGCCCAGATTTTGTGCATGTTAAAGAACCCCAGGTGGTAGAAATTTCCGGAACTCTTCACCAGGGCGTCTCTCATTATCATATAGTGGTTTTGGGATGTTAAACCTCACATAACACTCAAACAATTGTCAACAAGAAGTGCAGACATCTACTTGATACCACCAGCATGCTTTTCTCTATGGCATTACTGCCCCTGCAACGTCAGCTGTGGCACATTCATATGCCATGGTTGCCAGTGGGCCTTTTTCATTTTTACTGCACGATTCTTTTTTTCAAATAACTTCATCATCAAGTTCGAAACAACCTATGTGCCAGGACGATTTCTTCTACATCGTTACTACTGGCTCATTTGTTTTCTTCTACCCTCATCAACTTGCCTCAAACAAAACCAAGGTGGCCTGTGTCAAGTTCCAGTGCATCTAAGAACTTTGGATTACAGTACATTAAAACTTCTTTAATTCTAAGTCACTGGGGCCACGAAAAATCTTCGAATTAACAGAATATACAAAAAATGGGATGCAACGAACTTGAAATTATTTGAAGTAATCAGGGCTGGTCGTTTGCTGTGCCAGCTTGTTTGTGACTTCAAGGTCATGTTTTCCAGGAATACCTTGTGCTAATTTTGCCAAATACATGGAGGAACGGAGCGCCTCGCTGCTTCCACCAAAAAAAAAAAAGAGAAAAGAAAAAAAAGAATGCCATCGTGATCAACTAAAATGCGCAGCTGCGGAAAACAAGACATCTTCACTGCAACATAGTAGTGACATGCGGGTAGGATGTTACCTGCACTTCACTGCGTCAGCACGTCATGATGCGACCATTCGCCCTTTTTTTCCGGTGAAATAAAGAATTTAATTATGGCCAGTGTGGTGAAATTCATGATGTGTTTTGGCTGGAAAACATGATTCTTGGCGCTTTCGAACACTTAGTTCTTGAAGCAGGCATTGCAGGCAAGAACACCGCCAGCAGTGCAAGTGCGCAAATTGCTGGAGCAACCAGAAATCGGAGATTCACATACATAGCGAATTCCGCCAAACTGTCGTTTATTAATTTTTATAGAATCCCAGAAAGAATGGGTAAATCTTACTAAATCATGATGTGCTGACGTTGCGAGAAATATGCAATATGCTGCCCGCGCGTCACTGCTGTGTTATAGTGAAGCATGTTTTGTTTTCTGCAGGCGCGCATTTCGGTTGACCATGAAACCGTTCCTTTTTTTCTTCTTTTTTTCTTTTTTGAGCTGGAAGTAGTGAGGCTAGGCACTTCAGCTGCCATGCATTTGTATTGCTACGTTGCACTGCCTAGTGGCTCTTAAGGGTTGTCATTTCAGCAGATTTGTGGCAAAATCAGAATCGGGAATTCGCACATGGCACCCAAAGTTTCAAGTTAACCGGACTTGTACTGACCGCCACTTCAAATCATCTGCTCAGACTTGCATTGTAAAGTACCGGACCGCCAAAATATTTCTAATTAAGCGGGATATCGAAATAACCGAGTTTGAATTAATTAGGTTTTAGTGTATTTGACTGTCTTCCAGCATCTGGGTGTCCCTGTTTCACATGGTCCCCGAGAACACTGATGATCAGAAACCTTGCAGTGATTGCCCATTTGTTAAAAAGCAGCACTAGATTTGACTAATAATCTCTGGCACAATGTTCAGGGCTTCACTGTTGCTCTCTGTGATGCCATCACATTTTCCAAAAGAATCGACGTTTCAACTTGCCATCAAATGAAGTAATTGAGGAAGGCAGCTACAAGATGGCTATCACTGACTCTTTCCACAAATTCCTTCATGTGCCATTAGGTCTATACATTACTGCACACTTGTTCCATTATTACAACTTAAAGAAGCATGTTCTAACATTCGGCTTTGCTAACTCTGAAGACATTTTCTTGGCAAGTTGTTTTCTTCAGAAACATTTACAGTGCCTTCATATTCTTCTCAAATGCCTCTTGTCATGTGGCACCATTATCAATATCACTGAGAGTGAATGTGGTGTTCCCCCCTCGAATTTCTGAGCAATCACCTTGACTAGAACAGCCAGTTTGCACCAGTTTCAGTTCGTAAAAAATTTCTAGATGCACTTCATATGAGACTGCCATACTCATAGCTTTCATACACGATGTGCTTAGAGGGAGATATGTCTAAAAAAAAAAAAAAGCTTGCGTTAATCTGCAGTTTAGACAAATGAAATTTTTGCTATATATGTACAGGCTTTTATACTGATTTCAAATATGTAACTAGTTTTATTGTAAGTTCTACAGTTTTCATTTTATGCCATGACAGTGTGTGTTCATTTCGGACAAACTTTTTATGCTGCTAAATTTTTATGGTTCTCAGCCTAATAATGGCCCATATTTCTCAACATTAACTGTAGAATGCAAATAACTATCACAAGAGTGCATTTAAGACATTTTAATAAACAAGAAAAATTGTCATATGAGAATTCTTAGAATCCACAACCCATACTAATTGTTTATCTTAGGGTCGTAATAATTAGGTGATATAAAGTTTTAAATAAGATATTTGCCTCTTCACATGTTAAGCAGCATGTGAGAAAGTTTTCATCCCTATAGGGCTATTAAAAGTATCAAAACATGATGTCCAATTTCAAGAAGTTGCATGAAAATCGATCTTGAGAAAAGCACATTTAAAAGGCATAAGTTAAAGCTCATCTTTACGAAAAAGATATGGCCTTTCAGAGGATTTCCTTTATCTGGAAAGCTTGTCAATTATGGTTAATTTGAGCATGTGGCTTTAGTGAACTCCTCATGCAAAATGAAATGGCAAGCAGCCAGGTGGCAATTTCCAGGGGACTTTAGACAATGAGCCATTTTTAGTTTTTAGTACCTAACTTATGCTTTTTAAAACGGATTTTAACCTACTTCAAGTATAACTACAATCTTCAGTTTTTTCGTCATGAAAGTTGAGAAACTAAACTCATGAAAGCAAATAAAAATGAAAAATATTTAATTTATGAAAAAAAATTGCATATCCCTTGAATGAAATAATATATGGCGAAGCACTGGGCCTCTGGCATTTTCTATAGGCCAACAGAATGCCCTCTTTAGCAGGGAATTTGATCAGCTGAATCCATGAATTGCCTAGGAATGATACAAATTTGCATGCAACCCTGATTCATGTATCAGGCCTGTTCAGAAGGTTATATTTTCCCCATTTTATTTATGCTGTAAACCTGTTTGTAACAGTTCTATTGTTTTTTTTTTGGTTCAGCCGTAGAATGGCCTTTTGCCATTAGATGCCACCCATTGTCATCAGTACCAAAATAGCAACACACTTTCATTTCAATTCCAGTTAGGCAAAAGTACTCAATTCAGTTCTCATTGCAGTTTCCCAAGATTTTGCTTACACTGGTTTGCCAGGGAATAATATGAACCCTATGTTATGAAAGTTTAATCCAAATAACATTGGCCAGCGCAAACTGCTATAGTCGGTTTGCAAAGTGGTATGAAATTGACTTCCGGGACTTTTTGGCACATTGAAAATAGCTTAAAATGCAAATGCGACCTATTGTGTGAAGACATCCATGTGCTTTTATGTTCACAGGGTATTGACAACAAGCAGCTGAGTGAGCTGTTGGCAGAGCGTGAGGCTCATGCCGAGGAGCTTGCAGCAGCCTTGGAGCGACTACGGGAGGACCATGTAGAAAGCAGCCGGCTCCTAGAGACCATTCAAAGTGAAAAGGTGGCTGCCAGTCGTGCTCTGTCCCAGAACAGAGAGCTAAAAAGGCAGCTAGAAGAGATGCAGGATGTCTTTGTCAAGTTGGTGTGTTTCTTTTTGGTGCATAGTTTTCATGTGGAGGAATTATGAGCTCCTGAAAATGCAGTCTTTTTTTTTTTCTTATTGAGAACTGGTTATGTTCCATTTATTAATGAATTGGTTAACAAGCAGGTGTTTGCAAATCTTCTGAGATCTTCAAAAACTTTTGGTGGTTACACAAAGTCGCTTGGGTTCACAAGTGAACTCTCCAAATAGCATTGTGCAATGCCATAGCATTGCAGTTGCACTTTTCACAGTGCAATGCAAGGGGGTGCTTGCCGCCAAACTAATTGCGAGAGAACCAACTATCATCATTACTACAGGTTGCATAAAGATGCTCTCTAAACTGCATGTGTTGGGAACCTTCAAGAAAACTAGTTTGCATGTTTATAAAGACTAACTAGCTTATTTGAAAAGTATTAGAACCATTTGAGTGTCAATGCATGCATTCGACTATGCTTAAAGTGCTCCATAACACTTTTCCAGTAATCATAGAATGACCTCACTATTGGATTTTGTGACTTCATGAATTTTCATGCAGCAGGATGCCATAAAAAAATGTTTGATTCTGCCAATTTTATGCATAGTTAAAAGTAGTAATCACAGGTTCCAAGTGTTTTCTTCTTGCATGCCATTGAGCGTGCTGGAAGCTACACAGGAGAGAAAGGGTGGGAGAGAGCAAATTGCAAGAGAGTAAGAGGTGATGACAACGCATGCAATATCTATTTATCTATTGGTTAGAGTGTACTAACCATTTTGTTAGCACGTCTATTCACATCATTCACTGGTGACCAATGCTTTGAATCGCTTGTTTTTCAATGTTGAATCTGCTTCTCATGCAAATAGCTCTTCCTAGTAGTTAGTCCAGCCGCTGAACTTTTGTAATTTGTATGTGTATTCCCGTTTCGGGTACATGGTGACTTTTGACAGACGTTAGCATGATTGAATGTACATGTGTTGTTGAGAAAATGCTCTTGGCTGGTGAACTTGAGAGGAATGCGTGCCACTCATAGTTATGCTTAAGTAACATCAAAGTTCTGTACTTAAAAGAATCTTTGCAAGTCAAATATCAAATTATGATGTCAGCTTCTCAATGTGACGCTGTTGAGCGGTAATAATTTTCTAAAGTTTATGCCAGCTAGCTATTCACTATAGTTGTTGTTTGAAGTCGGGAAATATTAGTTCTACGAAATATTATTTTTGGAAGTACACCTCTTAGCGTTGTGGAAGTGGTCTTTTCAGTAAGTTTCCAGCAGCTGTAGTTTAACTTCCATTGTTATATCAGAAAGGGGGCCGCATCCAGTGTCGCTTATCACTTCAATAGTGTTGTCACACGCGTCCGGGTGCACATTTGCGCCAGAAGAAATGCATGCTGATCGAAACTATCTTGCAATCACACGTGAATTGAGTTACAATGAGCTTTGAGTGTGAAGATAACAGCACTTTAGCTTCAAGCTTTGATGGAAGCGATGTTTTGCTCAAGTCTGGGACATCTGCGATTCATTCTGGAGTTGGTTTCGTTTACAGCCTCAAGTGGTCTTCTCTGCCATATGTGCATAGCTCCTGACCTTTGTGCACAATCTTAGGGTTACTGTGGCTATGTTCAAGGTCCACACGGTGCTGGGGGCGCTATGGGATGACGCGGACTGCAGAGCTTCTAACAAGAAGAAAACACCAAAGCGCATCTCGGCCCCACACTACTGAGTGGCGCGAGACATTTTAGGACAGTGCGCAATTTTGTTCTATTTTTTCAATACTATCTGCAGCAAAAATTAGAAGCCAATGTGCTTGGATGCATATTTTGTAACACGAACCCACGTGCAGAAGGTGGCTCATTGAAAAAGGTGACGCCAGATAGACTAATGAAATACATTTCACTTATAATATATGCCCATACAGTCAAGCCCACTTAAAACAAACCTGAGTGTGACGCGGCATTCGTTCAATATATTCCGAAGTTCATAGTAAATGAAACACAGGTTTAAAACAGTTGCAAGTGAAAAAAAAAAATATTTGTTTTACAGAAAATTTGGTAATGCACATGTTTTGAAGAGCAGAAGCAATTAAGGTGATCTTGAATTTAACGCAGCAAGGAGAGGAGGCCCTTGGCAGCACAAGCTGCCTAAGGGTATTAAAGTAGCCAGTTGCTACAGGTACGCTTGTGGGCACTGGCTCCAAAGTTTCGTTGTTGCCATCATCCGATTCGTTCGAATCGGTCTTGCTGCACACTTAATTCGCAATTCCCTCCTTTGTGCAAGGTTATGTTGTGTCGGCATCACCATCTGTTGTAATGAAGTCATCCCAGAAGATGTCCCGCCCTCCCATGGATTCGACGGCGCACAACAAATTGCCGCGGAGTGGAACCTGTTTGGAAGCTTCAGGCTCGGCATCGCATCCGACGGCGACAAAGTCAGCCTCGCGAAAACAGTTTCGCACACATGTAGCCGTTACCTTCGCCCACGAAGCCTTCACGGTCTTCACAACTTCATACAGGGACACCCGAAGTGGCAAGTTGGCCGCCGGGTGGTCAATAGCAATAAACAAACACTCCACAATGCAGCACTTCTATTAAGTCTTAAACGCATGGATTATTCCCAAGCCAAGAGGTTGCACTTTCAACATTTTGTTGAGCGGCAGGAAAAAGCACATAAGGCTTTCCGTCCGCCATTCTGACCATACACGCACACCAACAGCAAGCAAGGCGCGCACATGCGACATAAAAGACAGGATTCATGAAAGCGCTCCGGGCCCATTTCTAGCCAGAAAAAGAAACTTCTGGATTCGAGCCAGCATCGCCAGTGTGGCTGGCGTTGTGGAGCGGTGGAGACTGGCGTAGTAGTTGGGGTAGAGTGAACAAAAAAGAGCATACTGCGGGAAAGCGACCTTGAAAACCAAAACATGTGGGAAGAAGGCAGGTCGGGTAGCTTGCTTGAAAGGTCCACAAAATGCTTAACTCACGCATCAAAATACTTGTGAGAGTGGCCTGCGTGCGCAGAGGTTACAGAATCGGCAGGCTTTCATGGCCCCACCGACTTCATTATTCTCGGTTCATTCCGTGTAACAGCTGTTCTTGCCATGCACGCGGAGGCCATGCTGAGCTGAGTGCAGAGTAAGCGAGAACAGGTTCTAAACACATAATAAATCGCAAATTATCAAAGTCGGTGGGTTAGCGCAAACGCGTGCGCTGGAACAATGACATTGATCCAGACAATACACAGACACAAATGATCGGATTCAGTCGGCGGCCGACCATGTTGGCAGACGGTCTGTTTGCTCTAGCCAGTTTTTTAAAGATTGGTGGCAGTGTGAAAACACGAGCCTCGTCTGGCGATGTGGGATGCTCAGAGTAGAGGGGTACAAAGAACGGAGGAATGTGTAACAAAAGACGGTGGGTGAGAGCGACAACTACAGGGCTGCGGAGGTGCAGTTGGCATTTAACAATAAAAATCTATGGGCACCTCGCCGATGGCTTTTCGATGGACGAAATTGGTGGCCTGGGAAGTTGCCGGTGCGCTGACTCCGCTCGCTGTAACCGATCGGCGGAGTTCAGACACGTTCGTTGTAAGTGCAATTTTGTGCCATTGAAATAAGGTATATTTCCACGATCATGTGAGTATCATTTGTTTTAAGCAAAAGTTCATTTTAAGTGGGGCCGTTATATGTGGGCTTATATATATGGTATGTATATATATATATATATGCACTTGTGTCTCACAAAAACCAGACGATGTTTCACCACATGTCACAAGCAATGAAGCAGATCCTAGGTTCAGATTTTTTTTACCTATGTTAATATAAACATAGTAAAGAAGGTTTATTATTGTTTACGGTATCTCTGGTCACTTATCTGCAAAATGTATATATTCTGAATTTTTCTTCTTTTGAATGTTTTTGTATATATAGTGTTTTTTATTGCAATTCATCAGATGGCAACTGAAAATTGCACACTTTTCACATTTATACATTCCACAGTACTTTTGGTGCTTTAAAACTTATATTTTTTAAATGCCCATTTCTTTATGCATAATTTGGTATGCTGCAATGCGTGCTGGAATACTTTTCTCACTGGCAAAAGCTTTCTTCTAGAGACATATGAAAAATGACCATTTATCACTGCAACGAAAAAGTTAAACTTGGGCATAGGTGGAAATATTGACACACGTTGATGGGCGCATGAAGAGGACGAGGTTGAAGCGGGGCTGGCTCATGAGCAGCTCAGTCTCCTGTTTTTGGCTCTGTGCTATACCTCTTGCAATCATTCTATTGTGTAAATAAATGCGTTCCATAGTCACAGTTGTGGTGGGAAGTGCTGGGCAAGCCAGCTACTGTGAAGCGTGACTGGAGGGCAACCGTCTACTAACGACAGAACAGTTTCGTTGCTGTCGTCGACTAGCGGGGTTGCCACCACTACCCCAAGAGATGAACTTGGACGGCGACATCTAGCAGCCGATCACAAAGGCGCCGCCTTTCCACTATCGAGAGCCACGCACATTCACAGGGAAACCTGGCGGGGACGTTGAAGAATAGCGTCTACCACTTTCTTATCGCCAAGGAGACTCTCGATTTTGTGGCCTGTGTAATCGGGCACTGCCGAACGTTTGAAGCCCTGAAGACTCGCCACATCACTACGAAGTTCAAATGCCTTGGCCAGTGTCATGACGGTCGCCACTGTCGATGTGTGCCAAGACTCCTTGCCTACCGACCTTTGTTCAACGATTCGCCTCATTGTACGCGAGGAACTTCAATGCCACATTTCTGTACCCATGAACACCCGAGAACCACCGTGCGATGCACCGTCCACAAGCATTATTGCTGCAAGTTTAGACGAGCGCAGCTATCCCAACCGCGGTCCTCAGCTAAGGGCTTCACCACCAACGTTTTTTTTATGTAGAGCCACCGCTCCCGGCTCTCATAACTGCTCCAACAGCCATCCACCCCCTTATGTGTCTCAGTGGGAGCAGAGCGCCGCGTACCCTCAACATACAGTAACGTTCTCTACGCCTCTT